GAGGCATACAACAGCTCAACAGCTTCTTCAGAGGCCTTGCCCTAGGGATGAAGTAAGACTAGGATGCAGCTCATATTCCTTATTCTAATCCAGGAATTAATCCTGTCTGCACCTTCTTCAAATGGACCAGGACTTACAAATGGAAATGCTTTTAAGAGCCAAGCAGACACCAAACAAAAACAACCAAAGAAAGAATTTGGGGTTCAACACAGAGTGTCAGGGATAGAGACCAACTGTAGAGTCCAGCCATCTATCGTAGGCAGGCGACCTTTCCTTGGCTAACTGCTGCCATGGACCAACAGAGGCCTGGCTGGCACTGCTAGATCCTTTGGTTTTTCAAGAGAACTCAGAAAACAGACTTTAATGTGACATCTCCCAATTATTAAATGTTTGTCCAATTTTTTTTTTTTATAAAGGCTAACGTGACCAAATAAAGCCTGTCTGCTGGTCAGATCACAGGCTGCCAGCTTGTAACCTCAGTAACAGATCATCGAAGATCAAAGACGGGTTTATTATAAGACACGTTCATTATCTAGGATAAACTTACAGTGTCAACTTTTTACTATTTTGTAAATTCACGCCTATTCCCCACTCCTCATTCTTATTTTTAAAATTCTCTCTTCACTGTAGTGGGTAGAGATTCCTGGCATCTTTCTCTTCATCCTCCAGCCCTGCCACCAAACACTTTCAAACAGATAAACATTTGCAAGAAAATAGTTCAACACTTGGAGCAGCTGCCATTTAAAGAAGATGGAGTGGATGAATCTCTTTGCAAAGAAACCATCTTTTTAAAAGAGAACACTCATAACTCATTCATGTTCAAAAGAACATTTCTACATGCACATATCTTACAGTGGCCCTGAAAGCTTGAGGAATACAGATAAACGCATTTCTCATGAACTAGAAGATGTCATTAAAATGTATTTCCTTCAGTCAAATATACATGCCGTCAAAAAGATACTACAGGGTCAGGGTGTTTTTTTGTTTGTTTGTTTATCTGCTTTTTTTTGTTTTGTCTGTTCTGATATAATAGGAAATACCTACTATCCAAATCCAGAGACATTATTAACTAAATGAGGATGTACTCATACTGTAACACATTATGTTGGGACCAGTAGAGGGCACAATGGTTATGTCACTGGACTCCCATATGGCTGACCACAGTTCGAGTCCCAGACCCAGTGACTGAAAACTCACACCAGCACGTGTGCATGCATGCCCAAGATCCCAAGAGAATGGAGAAGAGATTGCAGTGTGGCCATCCCCCTTTCTCATTTTCTGTTTCTCCATTTGTCTCTGTCTCTCTGACAAAGTGCACATGCCCTACAGCAAAAATCTCTCTTAAAAAATAATAAAACAGTAAAATATTATGTTATCGATAAAAATCATTTTTAATAATAGTGAATTGGGGGAAATGTCACAATATAATTTTTATTAATAAAAGGCACACACATGTATATCTTGGTTTTTGTTACCTTGATCTCAATTATTTCTGAGATGCAGAGATCTACATTGGAAGCAATCTAATACAAAAGTCACAAAAATATTAAATGGCTACCCCCCATACGTAGATTGCAGGTAACTCTATTTTCTCTTTTAGGCTTTTCCAAATTCCTTCCTAGGCATATATATTACTGCATTTACAATCATATGGGGAAAAGTTTTCTTTGCTTGACTTTCTGGCATTTTGTTTTTTCAGAATTTTCTGAAGCCAGTTCTCATCTTGCCTTCCTCTTCTCCCCCAACGCTCCCACAGCCCGGCTCAGACACATACACACGAGGCCACGGACTCACCTCTGGCCCTCGGTAAGGCCTCCCATTGACAATTTCAGGAGATGCATAGAGTGGGCTCCCGCAAAACGTTTGCAAGAACTTGTCCTTCTGGTACAGGTTGGAAAGCCCGAAGTCAGCAATCTACAAAGAGAGGCAAGACCCGGAGAGACTTGTTAGCATTCCAGACAGCATCTGCGTTGGATCAATTCACACCACACAGCACACAGAGCGGACAAGGGGCACCTGGGTGGGTCTGCCGGGGGCCACCGCTCTCTCTCCAGTCCTGGGCCTCGCTAACAAGATCATTCAACACAGCCAGGCCAGTGTTTCCCAGCTGCAGTCCTTACCACCCACCACAGGTTCTGCCATCTCTGCACACTACATGTACTGTGAGGGGACATCAAACAGTTCATGACAAATGGAATAAAAGTACAAGTTTATTTGGATGCAAAACAATTTTGAAATCCATGCATGGTTTTTTTCATAAAACGCATTTTCCTAAACTTTTCGAAGACTTCCTCACATTGTGTATTTAAATGACTCTTTCAATGACTCTCTATCTTAACCTGGATTTAGACTTGCCCTGAAAAATAACATCCACTCAATGTTAAAGTATATCACTATTCATTCAAAACCTGTCCCTCCGTGGCCTACCCAAAAATCATATCCACAGAGGCGTGCATATCACACAGTGGAAAACCCTGACCCATGCAGTTGACACCACGAGCTTTTTATCCTCCCGCACTCTGATTAGAACTGCATTTGGCTTGCCTTATGACCCAAGATTAATTGGACCCAGAGCCCTGGGTTTTGAGCCCAAACTCTGCCACTAGCCATCTGTGTGACATTAAGCAGGTCACTTAACAGCCTCAATTTGCCCACCAGAAAATAGGAACCCATGGTTCCTACCCTGTTCTAGCTCATAGGATTATTTTAAGAATAATAAGGATGGGCCATTAGGTAGTGTGGTTAAGGTACTGGACTCCTACATGGCTGATGGCAATTCAAGTACCGGACCAAGCAGTTTGAAAATCATGCCAAGCACAAGTACGTGTGTGGCCAAAATCCCAGGAGAAAAATGGAGGAGAAGAAATTGTGGTGTGGCCATCCCAACTGGAGGGTGATTTCTCACTTTCCTTCCCACTATCTCTCTTGGTCTCTCTCTAGTAAGTACATGTGCCCTATGGCAAAAACCCTTAAAAAGAAAAAAATAATAATAATAAGGGGAAAAAATCAAGATGAAACCATAAATGCAAAAGTGCTTCATAACCTAGAAATTTCAGGTAAATGTTTTACCTAAACTTGCTTCGCTGTATTGCCCACTCCTTGAAATTATTCTCTTCTCCTTTGGTTTCATTATTTGTATTTATTTATTTAGAGACAAGGTCTTATTATGTTTCCTGGGGCTGGTCTTGAACTCACAGCCCTCCTACCCCTGCTTCCTGACTAGTTGGGATGACAGATGGGTACCACTGAGCATGGGTTCTTTGGTTTCTTAAAGTATTTTATTATCTTTTACGGCAATACTTTTACACATATATGTATATACACAGCTATCTGCATACATAGACATACATGTGTGCATTTGCTTTTCCTGTCAGACTCTGAACCCCCAAGGCCATAGGCAGGTCCTACACCTTCCCCTTTATATTGGGTGGTTGGAAAAGTCATGACACGTTTTCATAGAAAAACAGAAAAATTTTTCCAACAGTCCAATAGCTTCCATCTCTTTGCACCTGCCCCCACCCAAGAAACACTCATCACTAGAAAAGGCATTATATTTTGAAAATCACAAGATAATAGATAATGTAAAATAAAAATAAACTTATTATCACTGATTGAACTTCCAGTTATCAGGCATTATGCTAAGTGCTTTACATTGGCTAATCTAATCCTATCAAAAATGCCATTTACACATTGTCAAATGTGACTGTTCATAAACTGTACCCCCAAAAAATAATTAAAATGGGGCCAGGAGGTGATGTGGTGGTTGAAGCATTGGACTCCCACAAGGTCAACTATGGTTCAAGTTCTGGAGCCAGTGGCCTGAAAAATCATGCTGGGCACATGTATGTGCATGCCTAAAATCCTGAGAATGGAGGAGAAGGGGTTGCAGCGTGGCCATCCACCCGGGGAGTGATTGCTCACATTCCTTCTCTGTCTCTCTCCAGCAAGCGCACACACTCTATGACAAAAACCTAAAACAAAAAAATTTTTTTTAAATAAAAATAAAGAGAACATAATAATAGAATCATCCATTTTCTTATGGATTACTTTATCTTTTTTTTTTTAATTCCATTTAACAGACAAGAAGTTGAGACTCAGGAAGATGAGTTTATTCATCTAAGAAGACATAACTAGCAAGGAGCAATGTAAACCCTGTGTCTGTCATGCTTCAGACCGCTGCACCGCCCTGCGCCTCGGTAATCTGCATATTTCCCTCCAGCCTAAACCTTACAAGCTGAGCCCTGTGTGTTCCTGCCATCCCCCATGATGATTTCCATTTGAGGCTTATAAACAGGCGGGATGATTCACATGCCAGAGAGCAGCCCACTGAAGCTCTGGTTTGAATGCAGCCCCTAGAATGAGCCTATTCTGTAAAAGTCGTCCCTGAATGAATGGAATGTCATTGAAAGCAGCTGGTGTACAAGCGCTCTCAGAAAACGCATTCTCGGGGCTCAGATTGCACTTAATTGCCCTGAATTCCACTTTCTTATCGAGGCCCCTGACTCACTGGCAGGAAGCTGGTTGGAAGCTTTATGAAGTGTGCCCTGTCAATCAGAAGAGGAACAGAATGACTGCAGCCCAGGGACATCCCAAGAAGTCCCCAGACTTTGCTCTTCCTCTGGCTGCCGCTAAGAACTGACAAGGCTCAGAAAAATATATCCCCTTCCCACCGGCAGTGTCTGCAGCACCTGGGGCTCCGTACGAGCTCCCTAATGCGTGTGTGTGAGAAAGGCATCCACTGCGCGCCCACGTTCACACGCTGCTTTGCTGGCTTTCTGGAAAGGCGTGTCTATGTTATGGCCCTCTTCCATCCTTACAGACTGATGTTTATCAGCCTCTCCCAGTAAAACTGTCATTGCCGCTGACACAAGATTAATAGAAATCGAGATTAGCCCATGTTCTTGGCACTTCAGCGGAAAAGCAATATTAATCAACACACACGCACGTGCGTGCACACACATATAGATGTCAAACCTGGAGCCATTCAAACTTGGTCTTCAGCTCTAAGACTTAATGCCATATGGCTCTTATACCAACTAAGGATAAGAGAGGAAATAGCTACTGGTTATGAACCCGCTCAGAAATCTCAGTTTTCTCAACCATGAAATGGGGGTAGGAGGAGTCTCTAACTCTGTCATGAAAATTATGTGACATAAAAGTGGCATGGAGGTTAAGGTGACCGGATCCTACATGACCAGCTTCATGGTTCAAGTGCCAGACCCAGAGGCTTGAAAATCACGCCAGACATGTTGTGTGTGCGTGCCCAAAACCCAAAGAGGAGAATGAAGGAGAAGGGACTGCTGCATGGTCATCCCCCTGGGGGGGGGTGATTTCTCACTTTGCCTCTCTCTCCCTGTCTCTCTTGGGCAAATGCATGCACCCTATAGCAAACTAAAAACAAAGTGAATGAATGAACAAAAGAAAAAAAGAAGAAAAATATGTAAAATGCTGACACAGAATGGACAGAGACGGGGCTCAAAAGACGTTTTTTTCTCTCCTTTAAATCCAGATAGATAGTTAATTCACTCCATGATATTTGAAATAGTTTAGCCCAATACCAAGAGCTGGTGAAGGAACAGAGTGTTAGGTGCCAAATAGTCACAGAATTATATAACTTTGAATCACAAAATGAAAAATTCATTCCTTTCTGGATTCTCTTTTAGTCTTTCAAGTTAAATTAAGGAGATGGTCTCAGTTGGGCATGGGAGTGTCTTTAACATCTCATTTATGAGAGGGAGCAGGCCTTGGGCTCAGAGCCTACAGCAGAGACCAATATCAAGCTGGAATTTAATAACACCAATACACTATTTAGCTTCAATTACATTTATTTTTGAGCTTATCTTCTATTCATGGCAACTGACACTGATTTTTTCCATTTAAGGCTATTATTTAGGGCTTCTTTTCAAAACAAATATCACTTTAGAGAGTGACTTGAACTAAATGAAACAGCAAAGAGGGTATTAGGAAAAGGCCCAAAAAATCATAAAAAAAAAAGAAAAAATGAAATTTAGAAAATATTGGTTTTAAACATAATAAAACAAAAAAATAATTTTGATCTGAAAGAGCCCTAAGAGACACTATTCCTGTCCCCTTGCCCTGTAAGTGAAGTAACTGAAGTTTCAAGGACATAAAGTTTTGCTGAAGGTCACCTCTAGCAAAAAGCAGGAGAGCTTGCAGGTCTTTCCCGAGAAGTTTAATTTCTCTGTAACAGAACATCAGGTGGCTATCAACAGTGACTTTCCATCAAGGGACAATCAGACTGTGCTTTTAAAACAGAATTTTGCCAACACTCTGCTGAGCTTTGGAGGAAGGTACCCAGCTGGGATTTTTTGCTGGGGGTGGGGAGTCGGGTATGACACTTCTGCACTGTGCTGTTCAATTCAGCCTTGACTCTGAAAAGGAATTCAGGAAACCAAGAAAGACTCGGGTCCTTAATTTTTGGAGTTTTATGTTATCGAGTTTTTCTAGAGGCGTGCCTTGCTAAATGAAAATCTGAGTGAGCAAGATAAATTCGGAAGTGATTACTCACATTTCAAAAGGATTAACCTCACTATACCACGGATGAACCTTGAAGACATTATGCTATGTGACATAAACCAGACACAGAAGAACAAACATTGTATGAGCGCATTTATTCGAGGTCCCTGGAGCAGTCAAATTCATAGAGACAGAAAACAGAATGGTGGTTGGCAGAGGCTGCAGGGAGGGGGCTCGTTATCGTTTAATGAGTACACAATTTCAGTTGGGAGGATGAAAACATTCTGGAAATGGATGGTGGTGATGGATGTACAATAATATGAATCTATGCTATGTATATCTTATCACCATTTAAAAAAATGATGAACCTTAGATCTCTGTAAAGGAGCTCACCCGACGAAAAAGAAAGTGTCAGCTTGTTGATCGTAACCACCAGG